TTTTTAATACACCAAAAAAAAAAAAGTCTTCAATGTCACATATATATGGATCTACCAATGCAATTTCCTGTAGAGAAAGGAGTATCTTATAGAAAACTAAACTATCTACATAACAAGTAATTTACGTAGTCTAATGCTGTTTTAGAAAAGGAATTAGATACAACTGCTTTGTCCATGACCCATGTTAGCACAAAGAAGAAGGTAATGAAAATAATGCAATCTGGAAATTCTGATATAGTCCCCCCCCCAACCCCCCAAATTGTTCAGTCACCAGACAAATAATAAATATAGCAGCTTGAATTGTCCCACAAGCTGACATGCAACCAAATGGAGTATGGAAGACCATTATTGTTGTCTTGATATGTAAGATAATAAATATTCATAAATAGCTGATGAATCAACAATGTCAATCAGGCTCTCTCCCTGGGGAGAAGTACCTCATAAGCATAAGAAAATCTGCATATTTCCTCTTCTTTTTTCCCTTTCCTCTTTTCTGTCTTCGAGAAAATAGAAGATTCGTGTATCAACTTCTCATAGATTAAATGTTGCCCTTTTCATAAGAAAAAGTTAGGTAGTAGTGCAAGTATTCTTTGACCTTGTCTGAATTTACTGTAGTTCAAACATCAGAGGTTCATTTTTATAGATGTTCCCACCAATGGTTCTGGACCAAAACACCCATGCAAGCATACTAAGCATAGGTTTACAAAAACATGATTTTCTAGCTCAAAGAACAACAGTTAAGAAGCTAACTAATTCCTGTGAGGGAGCAGCAAGCATTTTACAAATACACAACAGCTGAGGCCATATGAGAGAGAGAGAGAGAGAGGACCTTTTATTCTTCTGAGTTCTTTACACAGTGTGATGAAGTCTCCCCATTTCATATGGCACCGCCTTATGAACCGAAGAATCTGTTCAGTAGTGAACATGGACATGCCTTCTAGATACTCTCCATTGACACCATTTTCTTTGAAAATCTGGCGGTAGCTACCTAAGTTTATCTCTTCTAACCACAAGCCAACATCCTGGTACCATAAAAGAGAAGGAGTCTCATCTCAATCAATCCAAATATCATGGACCAAAAAATGAAATCTTTTGCAAATCACCA